AATTATTATTCAGCAAAAATTATCTAATTACAAATTGTTTATAAGGGCCAGTGTGCTGGATCAAATAGGTGATCATTTCTAAAAATCCATGCCCTATGATCACCAAAATGGGGTAGAGAACCATCATCTCCCTTTCTATGTAGCACATGGAGTAAGTGGGAGGATGTCATTAGGATCCCACCAAGGAATAGTGGAATTGTGACCCACACTATGTCCCCAGTGTTGCTATCAAACCACTTCCTGGCTGCCTTGTACTCTATTGTGCTCTATGGTCAAAAGGTTCATGGCAAGGCGATTGGGTTCTACTCTGGTTCAGTTTTTATCTACTGAAAATAGCATGTCTGTCTCTCTCCCTGTGTATGCTTGAATACATAAAATTAATGAACATCCTATCTCATCTCTTTTACTAGAAACTATAATATGTATGTATGGTGCATTTTTCTGTGCATTTATATGTTATATGACTGGGTATTGGAGATTGTCTTAACATCTTAACATTCAAGTGAAAAAAAGCAAAATGATAATTTCCATTTCTTTGTTCCACATTTTTGTATGTGTGCAATTCATGGTATCTAAAGTCACCCTTTGGGGGAGATGGGCAGCATATAAATTTAATAATAAATAAATAAATGTAGATACATATACATGCATATTTGTTTTTGCAGGCTGCATGGAACAACAAATATGTGGTTTTGTTTTGCATGTATATATGTGAGCACGTACAGATTCTTGGTGAATGGAACAGACAAGTGCAGGTTCATTTCTCTGCCTACACTGTACAATTGCATTTTTTTTACTCCTTTATTTACATATAATCTTAAAATAAAACATTCCTTGCATTTTGCTTTTCCTTCCTGTTTGGTGCTTCAGACTGGAATTGGTAAAAAATTCCTAGCAGAAGCTAAAGTGTCAAGCCATCTACATCTGTCTCAAAATTAGATAAAGATAGTCCACTGACTTTGAAAAACAATCCCGGTAACAGCAACCACAATTTATAATCCAAAAATAACAAATGATTTTTAGGAGATTACACCGTTAACAAATGCTTTAAAATATTAAAAAGAACAGATTAAAGAAAAACAGCAAACTGTCACTAAACAGTTGCACAGGAATCAATTAATACTTTTTTGATACATTTCCAAAGCTTGGCATCTGTCCAAGAGGAGTTGTTGTTTTATAAAATGGTCCCGTGGGTTTCTTGTACCATGTCGTCCTTTTGAAAGAAGTTTTTGTTCTCAACAATTTCCATCACTTGAAAGTTGAATTACCATCCTTTCAGTTTTAACGTATTCAAAATATGGACTTCTAGATGTTCCAGGATCTCCGCCTCGATGGCCTCTAGTGATAAAGATCTGGATTTCAACGACTGCAGTTTCATACAGTTTCACAAATCACTACCATGGGGTGCCTCTCAGGAACCAGCAATTCTTTTTTTTTTTTTTTTAAAGCTAGGACTATGTTTTTCCTCCCAGTTTTTCAGCTTCTGTGAACCAAGTAGTAACGATGCATGATGGGACTGCATTTTTTAAATCTCATTTGTTTTGGCAAGGGTGGGGCAAACTGAAGTGAAAAATTGGTGTATTTAAGCTGCCACTGAAAATGGGTAGTTTTGCCCTTACACTTTAGCGACATGATCTGAGAGTGCAAATCAACAGCTATAAACGATCCACCTTTTCCTTGCATATTCCTTATCTTCCAGCAGGAGTATCACCAGTATAAAGAGCCAGTAGGAAGAGTAACCTGCACATGACCATGTTGGGTCATAGCTTGTGGGATTCATTGCTTGAACACAGAAGGTCTAGCATCACAGCAGATTTCATTTGGCTGTAGTGCAGAAAAGGGACTCCCTGGGGAATACCAAACATTGATCCTTGGCTTGTATCTACATTTTCAGAATTTTTCTCTCCCTTGCTAATGTCAGCATGAACTGTTGCAGAGGAAAATGCCTGTAGGTAAGTTGTTGATGAACGTTGCAGTACGTAGCCCTCTGCATTTTAATACCACTGTCATCTTTGGGTCATAGTATGGCAAGTGGAGTGCTCCATGCAATTGATGCAGCTGGATTTAAAGACTTCCAAGATATTTGAAATATTCCTAGATATATTTCACAGAATAATACTGAGTGTATAACACAGGCATTGGTCTGCATGACGTTTTCTCTATGTTTTTAAATAGGAATATTAACATCAATACCCCAGGCCCATCTTTCTTCTAGGATGAAAAGTTTCAGTGTTTGGGTGATAATTCATTACCTTTGACCAGGCTAGGTAGGAAATGGATAAATACATAATGTCATGGAGGTTTACCTAGAGTTTGTCTCTCAATGTTTAGGGTGAGCTAAGGGTATGAACATTCTATTACTTTGTCTCCTTTAGTTGGTGGTTTGCAGAAGACTCAGCAAAGCATCTGGCCTTCTCCTTTCCCCAAGGGAACAAACAGGAATTGTCTTGTGGGATGTCCTGTTGCTGTGGCCCTTTGTCTTCCATAAAGAGAAGATAAATTATTATATTCTGTCAAAGTGATTCAATCTTAATTTTTAGTGGGAACAAGATCCAGTTCCAATAACATTGTAGAAGCTGACCTATCAAAAGCTTTGGCGGCCAATGTAACCTGATCATCTCTAAGTGCAGAATGTGATGTATGCCATGCTGCTTGTGGCAGTATGATCTAGCCGTATAGGACAGGAAGTGAAGTAGTTGTTCATTCCATTAAATTTACAGGTAGAATTTGGACACCGCTGTGGCATCTACAGGTTCTCGCTGCTTTTGTCAGCATAATGAAAGCAGAGTCGTGTCTCAAGTTCTACCTGTTTGGGGGATGTGTGCAATACCACACTGCAAAAAGAAAAGGGGTGTGGCTTGTGTTTGGATACGCAATGCTGCTTATGTCACCTTCCTTGCCCCCACCTGTAAACAAATCTGGAATAGCAAGATGTGATTATACAGGTGTCAGCTCTTGAGGTAGTCCAGACAAGAAGCACCAGCAATGAGTACTAACACTACCTCTCCCCTCCATTACTTTTACTCTCCAGAAAACTAGAGAGGAGCCCTTCTGAGACACTTCTTCCACCCCCATCCCTCCTTTGGACTCGGATTTCTTTTATCAGACCATTGTCTAGGCCATGGCTCTTCCTCCTGCCTCCCAAGGTCATTCCCACATTCCATTATTGCAGGCCAGATTGAAGTTGTTCCCTGCTTGAGATGATGGTAAATGGCACCCCTTGGTCTAATTCAAGGTGGCTGGTACTCAAAGCTGGTCATATAAGTGTACTTTTTGAAGCAGAATAATCATCAGGTGCCTTTCCTTCTTTCTGGAAGTAAATCTACAACAGCAGCAAGTTAAATAACAACAATCTGCTGCAGATACATGGAATTCCAAATCAGTCCCTCATTCTGTCTAATGGTAGAGCTGGCCCTGTTATCTGGGGTTTGGCCATAATATCACATCCTTAATCTTCCCATAATACATACATAGATGTATACAGTAAGAAAGTAAGTATGTAACGTTGGATTTGACCCTACAGAAATAGTGCCTGTGCTAGCGAAGTGGATTCTTCTAATGCTTGGGAATTAGCGTAAGTCTAATTCAGTGAATGTCTGTCATCAACATAAAACAGTAATGTTCCTTGCACCAGCTTTCCCATCTTAGCCATGATCACATCCAGCCATGGTTGATGCTAATGATGACAGTGATGGTGACGATTTATATAATACTTAAAATAAGCCAAGGAAATAATTTACAACAATTTCAGAAGACAAGGCTCTTCCAAAAGGTTCATAATCTTAATCCAGATTAGATATAAGTAGGAAGGGTTGGCAGAACAGTGAGAAGAATATGTGGAATATTTTATTTTTTTATAGTTCAATTTAGAAGACTTAACTATGTCTGTAAGTTAATAGATGTTCTTTGTAAAATATTTAATCTGCCCGTGAAACAAGTGATAAATTGCAGGGAGGTATTGGAGGAGAAATCTTTCAAGTGATCTGCAATGTTTTCTGGCCATTGGTTGTGGATCCCATCTAGCCAATGTGCCTAATTCCTTTTTCCAGCAGGAGAAACACTTATGGGTAGAAGTGGATTAAGTTTAGTATTTCTTGGTGGAATAAAGCAAAGCAGTATTTATTTGAGGAGTGTGTATTGGTGCCGCTGAAAAAACTTTTGAGGGCTTTGAAGCTTGTGGGTATAAGGATAAGGGATAGAAGGAATTTGAGTTATCCCATCAAATCCATTTTTTAAAATTAAGACAGTAATATAAAATGAGAAAACAATGTTTTCATTTCTACAATGAGCACGTTTCTAGAAATACATGACTGTTATTGTATGGTGATTGAAACTAAATAAAACAGTGATGGATTCTTTAAGTGGATGATTAAGTGGATGATAAGATGTAGAGATGATGTTTTGGAGGAAAGGTAATTGAGTGGTATCTGGTAATGTTAACATAATTAGAATATAAAGATAAAAATAAAAAGATATATAGCAAACTACATTGCTACAAAAATTGGGAAGGATAAATCTTATAAAACAGTGAATATGATTTCTGGGTCTTCAGTTGTATGATCTTAGAAAAGTTACATAGTTCCTACATGGAAATTAACTGTGGGCAAAAGCATGAAACTTGTAAAGAGTGAACAGTGGATATCAATTCAAAGGCCAGATTTTGGGGATGGTAAATATTATGTAATTAAATGATGAGATGAGGTACATTGGACCTAAGCCATCAATATTATGTTATGTCAGTTGAAGTACAGCCTGATTGATTTGTGAGCATTCTTAGGATTGAAATGCACATCTCCTAACAAATGAGCCTATACATTTAACCCAATATGTTTTGATGGTATATTTTGTGATTTTAACTGCTGCATTAAATGAAGAATGCTATTTTTGATCATACAATCTGTTTCAGCTTCAAGGATATAATGAAGTGGCCAGAAAGCCCTGATCAAACTGAAATGTAATTGTTTAATTTACAGGAATAGTGAACGGTAACAGATTCCAACATGTCACCCAAGAAGCTACCATTCTACCAAAAAAGACACAAGCATTATGACCTGTCTTATCGCAATCTTGAGACAAGATACTTGCTCCAGGAATATGCAGCAAGGAGGTAAGGAGCATAACTGCTGTTCCCATATGAAAGTAATTCACATCTGCATATCTTTTGATTTATAAAACTAATCAAAGTGAATAACAGCAGCTATGGTGTCATTAGATAGGGATCTGCAATCAGTTTCTTGTTGGAACTGCTTTCTTGGGAGTGCTGAAATTGACCCCCAAAGGTGTAGCAGGCTGCAACTGAAAACTGTGGGCTACCTTGTCTTGGAAGCTTCCAAGTTTCCACTTGATTTATTTATTTATCATAATTGTAAGTTTAACCCTAACCCTGTTTCCACTGTGATTCTGAGCGGCATGCAATCTTGAAAGCAAATTAACAAGAACAGTAAAAAGAAAATGTGACACATTCAGAAACAGTAAAACCAACACTGTCTCAACTTACAGCTTTCCCACCAAGGACCCCCCACCCAAACTAACCCAAGGCCTGGGGGAATAGCCAGGTTATAAGGGCTCATTTGAATGAGGGTTCATACTGCTACACAAGAATTCATAGAATTAATTTTCAGGATTACAATACACTCATGCCAAAAGAATAATAGAAGGTATGAGCTCTGAAAAAAAAAAGAAAGGTTGTCAAGGTTTCAAAGGTTGTCAGTCTCATTCCCCCACAAGTTACTTCTGCTTTGGATGGTGGTTCAAGAGACCACAGGGCTTCAGGTCCATTGTCCCTCATGGATCCAACTCCATGCAAGCAGCACTTGTGATGTTGCAAATTTCAGGATGGAGAGTTATATGTCAGGGTACAGAATTGTGCCTGGAGCAAGCAGGACCGCAGCCTCATCAGAGACAACTGTATTATTCTAGCTGGGAATGCTTCGTTTGGAAGGAGGAATGTTCCCTTATTTGTTCTTTGAAGTTGGTTTAACACTTCAGTCAGAATGAGGCCTAAAGTAGGGAGAGGGGCAGGTGTTGTTTCAGATTCCTACAATTTGCTTATGGACTTTGAATTTTGCTGTTTCTGACTTCCTTCTTCTTCCACCTCAAAGCTCAAATTTATGATTTGCAATAATTTCACGACCAACTTAATCTCCCCCTACTTGAAAGATAGGCAAAGGCAGAGGTGAAATTTAAGAATAGGTCATGCATGCAAATTTGTCAATGGCCGGTTTTCTCTTTGCCCCAAAAGTGAGAGGAATCTTAAACTTGTTAAATGTGTTGACTTATTGTTATTGTTATTTGTTGTTATTATTACTTTGCATTTGAAGGGCTGCTTCTAGACAAGCCTACCAAACATCATGCAGACTAGGCAAAGCAACATGTATTCTTTGCGCCCCAAAGCTCCACATCACATCTGAAGAGACATTGCAGGAATCTCAGGCAAGGTAAAACTCTCTTCACCTATAATGATAAAGGTGTTCAGTGCCAAACACTTGTCTAGCGATTGGCTAAGCAGCTTTAGGAGACTGGCATATGGAGAAAAGTACACGTACCCTTGATTGAGGTGCCTAGACCTAACAAGGGCAAGTGAAAGAATAGAGGAGCAGCAGTTGGTCCGTATAAAAGAGAAAGGCAGAGAGGAGGAACTGGGGAGGACATCAAGAGAAAAAGAATGGACAGAGAGGTTTTTATTGCCAAGAGTTCCTGAAAAAGGAAGGGTGAAGTTTATATCTTGAGTTGGAATCCTCAGCTAGATCTTTGACAGCAAACTTTTCATTTCCTTCTAATGCTCATGTAGAGCGATACTTATCTCCATAGCTTCACAGACATGTAGTCTCAGGCATATCACTGAATGTGCTTTGGAACATTGTTATAAGAGCTTATGGCACTCTTGCTCTTGCTACTAAAAGCCTTCAGAAGAGAAGAAAATTAGCTTTTATCTTGAGAATTTTCAAATCCTTCTTAACTCAGGAGAAATGAATTTACTGGCAGAGCTGGCAACCTGCTAACACTTGCAGTATAGCAGGTTCTTCATTGATTTATTAGATCTAGAATACCAAAGCATTGGATGTCTTCTAAATCTCATACTTGACATGTTCCAGTGGTAGAAATAGACTAAAAACCTTGGTTAAACTTGGGTAAAACCTGGGTTAAACACAAGTCTCTCTATTCCTTGGTTTAAAACAAATGCACAAGGTTCTGGCTAAATGCTGAAACTTTGAGCAACTTCCCTTGAATATAGTTATCTCTTCATCATTGGGGGTGTTTAAGATGATCTCTCAGTTGAAGCCAAGAGATGTACACCTGTAATACATATGCTGACAACTCTATTCCTGTTTGTGTGAATGGCTGAATGCCCAGTGATATACTGTACAAAAATAGGCCAATGACCTGCTCCCAGTGTGTTATGAAAGGTAAAGTTATGGGGATATCTTCATCCTTTACCTGCAGATGAGTTGAGGATCCTCATGTTTCTGCTGCATGTTTCCTTCTGCTTTGGATGGTGGACCACAGGGTTTCAGGTGCATTGTCCCTTATGGCCCCAACTCCATGCAAGCAACACTTGTGCTGTTGCAAATTCCAGGATGGAGAGTTATATGTCAGGGTACAGAATTATCAATAGAGGTGAATATAATATATCGGTGACACATAAACCAGCAAAATCACTCCAAAATGCCCTAAGTAAACCAAAAGACCCAGTAGCCCAAGAAGAAAAAGCAGGAGTCATCTACAACATACAGTGAAAGGACTGTAACAAACACTATGTAGGACAGACAGGCAGAAGACTAGCAGAACGCATCCACAAACACCAACTAGCAGTCAGAAGACATGATGAAAATTCCTTAATCTCACACACATGGATAGACTCAACCATAGTTTTAATTGGGAAACTGTCAGCATTTTAGACTAAGCTAAATCCAAATATGCAAGAGAATTCTTGGAAG